CTGTAAAATGAGGGGGTTGGCCTCTGAGGTCCCTTCCTGCTCTAAATCTATAATCCTATAAAGTCACTTAACTTTTCTGGGCCTCAGTTTCCTCATCTGTAAAATGAGGGGGTTGGCCTCTGAGGTCCCCTCCTGCTCTAAATCTATAATCTTATAAAGTCACTTAACTTTCCTGGGCCTCAGTTTCCTCATCTGTAAAATGAGGGGGTTGGCCTCGGAGTTCCCTTCCAACTCTTCCTAGATCTATGATCCCATGACCTTGAATAGTCATTTCAACTGCCTTGAGCTTCCCTGAGGACAGGACCTCACAAGAGGATCAAATTCCAAAGATGGGAGAGATTTTAGGTTGACTGGTCCACTCCACTCCTGACCAAGAATCCCTTCAGGCACCCTGCTAGCTACTCTAACAAGGGAGAATCCTCCACCGTCCTGAATCAGCCAGCCTTCCGGTTGAACAGCTTTCATTGTTAGGGAGGTTGATTTTCCCCCGCTTCATGCATAAGATTTGGTTAGATTTCAGGGGTAGCTGGCCTGAGTTCTCTGCCTGCAGCCTCTTGGACCCTCGTTGAAATTTCCCCTCTCCCTTTTCCTCATCATTTCAAGCAGGGGTGTGCTGGAGCACCAGCTCGAACTGGCTCTCAAGAGATGGTTCTTAAATTTTCAGTGTGAGCAGTGACACTTTGGAAATTGGCAAATTACAAATAGGTTATGATTTATTATTTTTTAATTGTTCAGAGCTAAGAAGATGATGGAGAAAATAATGCAGATTAAACTGAAGTGTCTCCTGATTCCTTTTTTTTTTTTTTCTCTAGAGAGCTTAAGCATTTACCAGCACACTCTGATTTTGGCCCTCCCTCCTCCTTCTTTTCTATCTCTCTCTGTCCTTTCCATGAGAGGAGTCGAAATGAAGTGGGCCAGGGAAGGGAGCTGTTTTTCACCTACTGGGGTAGGAATCCAGGAGCTGAAGGCTGACTTCAAGTCAGGAGAACATGAGGAAAGAAAAATCATAATAGATATTTATAAAGCACTTAGCATACACTATCTCATTGGGTCCCATTCCTGTGATAGTAAGCGGGGCAGGAATTATTACACTTACAGATGAGGAAACTGAGGCTTAGCGGGACACAGTAACTTGACAAAGTCTTCTAGCAGATTGATGGCAGAGCCAGGCCTGAGCATATAGGTTTTCCAGCTCCAAACTCATGCTCCTTGCACCTAGCTAGGCTGGCCACCATGTTCCTAGAACCCCACAGAAAGGGACTAGCCATGTACCATGGGTGTTTAATTTCTTCTCTACTGCGCAGAGCAGTCCTGGGTAGCCAGTCCATTCTGAGGGTGCCTTAGTGAGGAGGGTGTGCCATGTGCTGTGTGGGGAGGGATGAGAAGTGGAGTGTGGGACATGTCATCTTTTTTCACGTGGGATCTCCCTCCTCCTCAGACATCAATTCAGAGGCCCAGATAGCACAGCATATATCCTTTCAGGTTAATCAGTGGCTACAGTCATGGGTGGGGTGAAGGGAGAGCTTTCATGGTGTGGTTCCTCCCTTGGGGTTCCTTCCACTAGAGAAACAAGTTTGGCTGGTTATGGGCCCCTGGGGTTTTTACCTCAGGGCCCCTTGAAAAATCCTGGGAAAGACTGTCCAGGTGTGAGTCCTGCCCCACCTTTCCCTACCCTGGTGCTTCTTCCCCCAGAAGACCTAGCACCTGCAGGCTCTTTCATCCGAGAACTCAAAAGAGCTTCACCGGGCCTCGGGAAGCATCGTTAACCTGGTTTTATGGAAAGACAAGCCCAGGTTCAAGGAAGGAAAGGCTTGGATCCAGGTCTCTGAACAGCTCATTAATCGAGCTGGGAATTTAGAGCCTGGGATTGTGGCCAAGGTCGGCTTTGTCCAGAGGCTCACAGGCTTTGTCCTGACGGCCTAGGAGGTAACCCAAACTCTACATGTTTTTGCAAGGGAAGTAGAGTGTAAAGAATGTCTGATGCCCTTGGAGAATGTCTGACGGGCTGTTTGAAGGGGAGCTGGGATTTATTTCTTGGCCCTGTCACTAGCTGACTGTGTGACGTTGGCGGATCCCCTCCCCCTCTCTGAGCCTCAGTTTCCTCTTCTGTAAAACGAGAGGGTTAGACTACCCAGACCCTTTCAGTTCCAAGTCTTCTGCGTTTGCCTCACCTGCTATGGGAAGGTCATCCTACGTCAAATGCTAGCAGAGGCCCAAAGTGGCAACTATTCATTCTGTCACCTGGAAGAAACACTCTTGGGGAGCGGTAGCACCCAGGGTGAGCTCATTCCCTACTGGGGTGGGGAAGAGGGAAACTGAGTCCTGGGAGAAAGGTGCCATGGTGATGGGACCCTAGAGAGGGGTCACAGGAGTATGGATTGAGAAATGGAAGAGGCCTTACAAACCTCCTCATTTTACAGATGAGGAAACTGAGGCTGAGGTGAAGGCAGGATTTGAACTCAGGTCTCCTTGATGCAGCACTTTAATTACTATACCAGGCTGGGCAAGATTAAAGGACAGCACAGGCCTAGGGAAGACCACAACCCTGGGGCACAAGGAAGGTCTCTAGACCGTACAAGGTGCCCCCAACCCTGTCAACCCTTATTGGGACTGTGATCTGGAGTTCCGGTTACCTACCCTGCCCTACCCTGTTTAAGGCTTTGGATCCATTAGACCTGGCTTTTCTCTGACCAGAACTCTTGTTGACACAGAAGGAGCCCCTTCACCTCCTTGGGGCTCAGCCACTGAGACTCCTGGAGACGGCTTTCGTCCCTCTCCTTTAGTCCTCCCTTGGCCTGACCCCATGGACTGGGCCTGCCTTGGAACTCAAGTTCTGGCCGCTCAGCCTGTGGCTGCCTGACCAGTCTCTTCCGGCCCCGAGCCTGGCTGGTGGGCTTGCCTGAGATCACCTCTAAGCCACGGTCTGGAGATTACGGCAGAATCTGAGACCCAGCTCCCAAGGAGCACGTTGTGCCGTCTTCCTCTCTCACTGCGACGTTCCAATTCCAGGTTCCCAGAACGGCTGTTGGTAATGGGGGTGAAGCGAGGGTAGGGCCCCCCAGGGAGGGAGAGTGGGGCCGGGGCACCCTATGCACAATTCCAGGCCACCTGCGACTCACTGATCCCCAAACCCTTTACACGGGCTTTCTAGGGATCAGTTTACCCTTGAGAAAAAGCCTCATTCCCAAGGTCACACAGTGAGTCAGCAGCTCTGGGGCCAGAACCCAAGATTTGGCATCTGGGTTCGAGTGGGTTCGAGTCGGGGCCATACCATGGCTCACGGTGCAACCTTGAACCCTGAACCTTCAGGCTGGGTATGACGGCACCTGCCTACAGTCGCTGCTGCTACTGGGCGAGGTTGAGGCTGGGGAGCTCCAAGGTGCAGCCGGGCAAAGGCCTAGCCCCAGTACGGTCATTGTCTAGGAGCAGAGAGGCCGTGTGGGACGGATGGCCTGGCCCCAAGAGCAGGTATCTGTGTTGGGATGGAACTCCAGAGAGGGGCACCTGCCCTCAGAGGGGGGAAAGGCTCTTTATTTCCCTGAGCCTCAGCTTCTTCATCTGTAAAATGGATCATATTTACACTCACAAGAGGCAGAGTGAAGCAAGGGGTGGAAACTACTGTAATTATCAACAGAACCAGGGAGGCCTGCGTTCAAATCCCATCTCTGACGTGAGCTACCTATGTGACTCACTCTGGGCAAATCACTTGCCCTCTCAGTGTTCTAGGCGGAGCAGGTCTGCTATCTACTCCTGAGGATGGAAAGTCCTCACCTGGAAATTCCTTAGACTAGGGGTTCTTAACCTGAGGTCCATGAACTTATTTTTTAAAATATTTTGATAATTGGATTTCAATATAATTGGTTCCCTTTGCAATTCTATGCATTTTATTCATTTAAAAACACGATTCTGAGAAGGTGTCCAGAGGCTTCACCAGAATGACTGTCAGAGGGGGCCAGGCACAGACAAGATTAAGAACCCTGCCTAGGCTGAGGAAATCCCAGGGTTCGTCCCCCCAAATGGGGAGGATGAAAATTCCGGTGGCACCCACCTTCCGGATAGTTGTAAGGTTCAAATGAGATCATATTTGCGAACATCGAAGCTCTGCTATCGAGACATTAGGAATACCAGTTATTATGACT